GAACAGAGGCATTAGTGAAAGGAAAAGTGCCCAATCATTTCTATCTCACCCAGGTGAAAACGTGGTTAGAAATGGTTAGTAATGTTTAAGCTTATACAGTTGTAATTTATTACTATAGCTCAAGATATGTAAACCAGTGAAGAAGGTGTTTTACAACGAATTTTGTTCATTCCACTTTGTGTTCTCAATATCAGTTAGTTCTCCCATGACGTGCGTGAAGCTTTAATGTAACTTGCTTCACAATAACAAGAGAGTGTGCAACTGCAGTGAGGGACACATTATCATTGTAAAAAGTATATGGTTGCAAGCTCTGTAGTAAAGATCACCTGTAGTACTGAATTAGCGTTAGTTTTTCTCTCAGTTTTACAAGACTATATATGTTTTACCACTATGTAATAAGTAATAATGACCTAAAATACGGTACTGATTGCGTGATCACAGTAGCAACATCAATAAAAATAGCAACTTTTCCATAAAGATCTTGAGACAAGTAAATTATTGCATCCGCTTCAGAACATGCTCTGTTTACACGTAAATGTAAACAACGTGACACGTGTAAACAGAACACGTGTTTACAGTGTGTGAGAGGTGCAGACACCACGGTGGAGGAGGAGCGTGGGCCATTAAACACTTGTGTGCCCCCTGTGAGGTTTGAACTCACGACCCCTGGTTTACGAGACCAGTGCTCTACCACTGAGCTAAGGAGACAGATATCTACACAGGGTGTAGCCAAACCAAAACATCGTATTTATAAGGGCTACTTTTCACAGCATTATCCTTCAGTGCAAACGGCTTGTTCACCACGTGCAGACTCACGTGGTCACTTCTCAATAACGGAAATTAACTGTAATTACATAGATAAATGTGAACGCTACGGTAATAATTTACCTGCCAGACGCATTCATCAATTTTAACATACTGTGTTTTAAAAATTGATTTGTTCTCATATATAAATTAATATTATTATACATAACAATTATATGTATAGTTAGGCGTAAGTTAGGTGAGGTGTTTAGGTTCTGTTGGCGATTATTTTTGTTTGTAGTACGTGGGTGAAGCATTTACAGCGTTGTGGTTCGAACAAAATTCGTTAGTGGAGCCTTGTTCCGGAAGTGTTCGTACGTCATCAGTTGTTAGTCGTGTGTAAACCGTTTTTCATTCATAAACAGGGTGTTTGGCGGCTGGATTAACGAGCTTGGACCTTTGTATGCAAGGGCGGGCTGGGGGAGGACGGCCTCTGCTTTAAACAGCCTAGTGTGAGGACGGGTTGCGTCATCAAGCGTCTCATTTTCAGCAGCGTTTCTCCCCGAAACGCTGCGCGTACTAGTGGCTTTACAAGATTGTAATTACCATATTATGTATCCTCACATTCCCAATGTACCTTCTTGTATATGCATAAATAAATAAATAAATAAATTGAGTCGTGTGTAAACCGTTTTTCATTCATAAACAGCTGGGGGTTTGACGGGTGCGTGGAATGGACTCTGGCCTCTGTTTATGAGGAGGTGCTGGGAGCAGAGGGTGTAGGGGGTGGGGCAGGGTGTGCAGTAGTGGTTGACGGCCAGCTGGCGTATCGTTCCCTCTTGTCGCATCATCACATTGTGCGTTTTCTCTTGCAGATGCTTCTGCCGTTGTTGTTGTTGTTGCTGGTACTGTGCGAGTGTCTTCAAACTCGCACTGTATATTGTGCTTCCCACTCCCCCCAATATGTGTGCCTAAGACATGTAACTTCACCATTGTAATCACTGCTATCAACTTATATCTTAGTTTTTTTTTGAGATATATACAAGAGTTAATACAGTTATGTTGAACGCAAATATTGCTACAATGTATCTATTAATAGTCCTCAAATTATGCTACAATGTACCTGTTGATAATCCTCAAATTTTACTACAATGTACATATTAATATTCTTCTAATTTTGCTATAAATTACCGACTTAAAATTATCTTTTAGATTAAGGACCTGCCCGAAACGCTATACGTGTTAGTGCTTTGTAAGAATATAAAAACATAAATACTATGTACCCTCATAAACCCAAAGTACCTTCTTGAATATAAATAAATAAATAAAGAGTACAGCTGCTGCCGCTGTACCTCAGCTGATCGATAATCCGTCACGGCGGGAGAACCCTGGGAGGGGCGGGACGGAGTCGAAGGCTTTTCCCCTTACTATGGGCGTCAACATAGACTTCTGTGTTCCGCAAAATCATTGGCAAAGTATCCCAAAATTACCTTCTCTATGAGACGCGCATGCTGTGTGTTGTATAGCTGGTAGTCTAGATCTTAATGGTTCATTTTTTATTTAAGATAAAGTTTCTGCTAGCCATATAGATGCCGTGGTACCCCTCCAATGAAACTATTGGTGACGACGCCGGTGGACGCAGGCTTGGTTGGTACCTGGTTGCCTGGCTCTACTATCAGGATGTGAAACATGGTGGAGGGTATTATACACTAGTTTCGTTCTCTCCTGGATGTACACACTTGGGTGTTTTGTAGCGTCGAACTCGTCTGCTTAAATACATGTGAAGAACCCGACAAACTCTAGCCAGCTCCCCGACAAATGAGAGCAAATTTAACTTAGCTTCCAAACACACATATATGCATGTTGTAAGCGAGGCGAACAACTCTCCCGCTGACACAACCCCCACACTGTACTCAGTATTTCTAGTGATGTTCAAGTTTTTTCCAAAACTTGAACATCTCTGTCTTCACTCCCGGAAACACAGACTGCTCAAAACTCAGGAAACTCGGGCGAGGCTGCTAGCCTCGCCTGAGCAGTATTTCTTAAAATTACATTTATTAGGGTAATTGTTTTGTGTAAATGTGTAGATACCCATCCAGTGGGACCCATGTACCCAGCACCGTTTGATTGATTGATGAAGATTAAATCATCCAAGAGGTGGCACGGGTATGAATAACACGTAAGTGGTCGATTTTGTGGAGTGACTGTGTGATCTTTGGTCGTGAAACCCAACACCCATCCAGTGGGCCCCATCTCTCATCTCTGTTAAACATTTAAAAATGTTTCATTGAGGACCAACAGAGGCGGATGAAGAACCTCAATATTTGTCTGTACATAAAGAGGTTCCTACACTTCCGTTGACAGTCACAACCCCGCTCCTGTGCCAGGTAACTCCACCACGGGCTCGCCATAGCCTCTGCTACTTGGAACTTTTGTTCCGAGTAGCTGAATCTAAAACAACTTCCGTTGAGTTGTTGGGAACATGATGTCGCTTGGAGGACACACCTTCAACACACACTTGCTACTCAGAGGTTAAAATTACCGCGAGTGTGTCAGGTGTGGGGTTCGAACCCACGCACTCTTTCGAGTACCAGAACTTAAGTCTGGCGCCTTAGACCACTCGGCCAACCTGACGGTATGAGGGCGCCGGCCGTGTTGTATTGTTCTGTTTTTCTTAATGTAAAGTGAATTGGGGTAATTGTAACACTATATAGAATAACAGTTCTGCGCCGTATTGGAGGCGGACTCAACCAGCAGTGTGATTAACCCATGTTGTGGATTCTAAAAATGTGCAACCATGATGGGGAGGTGTCGAGCCCCCAAAGAGAAACGTTATTATCATTGAGATACGTTAATGAACGTTGACTATTTATATATCACAAGAAAGACGGAAATGCAACCTATGTTTAGAACCTTTATGATGAAAACATCTTTATAACTACACATAAAAAAAGCTGAGCTTATTAGAATACCGAATGTCCATAAAGCGAATATTTACAGAGAATGGTTCTTAGCCGATCATATATTTACCTGAATGAAGATCTATAAAATACACGATGATAGTGATTGTAATAAAGTATTATAATTAATAGAATGTATATAAAATAGTGATTGAACACATAAAGTGAGTTGGCGACGTGCCACCCAGCCGCCTCCTTAGCTCAGGGGCAGAGCACTGGTCTTGTAAACCAGGGGTCGAGAGTTCAAATCTCTCAGGGGGCAGAGTTGTTTTTTTAAATTTTTCATGTCTTATTAACTGTTTATTGTATGTTTATATGCATTACAAAGATATATATGTAGTGAAAGATTCATTTTACGTACCAAATGTTTGTTTATTCCACACAATAAGAGTTTTACCCCATCTTATTTGAGCAAATGTTAACTAATCTCTATATAATGTATATTATATTTGAACGGAAGTTTAGTTCACTTCATTTATTTTGAACCCCCATGTTCATCCTGTGAGGGGTATATAACGGAAAATGTTATAGAGCTACATATATGACTTCAAGAACTGAACTCCAAAATTCATTTGGCTAAGCAAGTTACAGCATTGATTATCTGAATTAAATATTATTTGGTTCATTCATTATACACAGTTGTAGAGGCACATGACGGGCTCATGAATTGAACTCCAGTTGAAATATAGTTACATAATTTAACATAAATCGAGTATGTTTAGTTTGTCAAACTAACAACACCTTTCTCAAGAAGGCCTAACAGAGTGAGAATTTATAATTGGGTCGTGTTGTTGAAGCCCATTATGTACAGTATATATATAGGGCTGAGGAACTGAACCCTAAAATTCGTCTTGCTAAGCAAGTTACAATTGGATAAGCTAGGTACATATATTAATGTAAATGTTAGCTGTCATTTAGGTACATATATTAATGTAAATGTTAGCTGTCATTTATAGTATAATTAGTTCAAGAAGAACTGGACCACAATAGTCTATAATTACTACACTAAACTTGCACATCTGCATGGGGATTCGGAAGTGAGATATGCGGTGACCTGAAAGCATCAGTATAAAAAGCTATGACTTGTTCAGATCTGAAACCTATATTTATGGGCAGCACAAAACGTGGACCAGACTGTGCGACACAGTGGTTGCAAGGATCAGGTTGGGTTACCGTTACCTGTGACAGGTGGCTACAGGTGACGGATCTCCCAATCCTGAGCACTCAAAGTGCAAACTCTGTGAGCAGGAATTGCGGCATGATCTCCCGCACTACATCACCGAATGCCCAGTTATTAGACCTTTCAGATCAGTTGGCATAAGGTACCTGGAGCTTTGCAATTACTTTATTCACACACTTGTGTTTTTTATGATATCCTCATAATGCACCCAAAGTTTGCTAGTGCAAGCTAACTAGCTATTTTTTTGACACGCTGTACTAGCCTCCATATATTCTAGGGTAGCTGCACAAATGCTGATGTACCTAAATGTGTTAATAAAAAAAATAGCTTATATTAATTATACAGATTAATGTGTTTATTCTAATGTCTAATACACATTTCATCAACTAAATTTTACGATTTTCTTCAATAACTGCTGCAGCATGCAATAGTTTAAATATTTTTATTCACATCCTTATAAATTTAAAATATAATAATAATAATTTATAATGAATAATTGCAAATTACAAATAATAATAATTACAAATTACAAATAATAACAACTTGTAACCCCTTTAGAACCTATGATTTTTTTTTATAGTAAAGTTCAACGTAATGTCCTTCCATCCGTTGTTGGTTATAATAATAAAGTATCGTTTTCACATGGACACACAAACGTATAAAAATGCAACAACTTGAAAGAACAGTTAAAAGTTCTTAGTAACAAAGCTCTATAACGATTAGATAAGTTAGAGTAGGTTGTACACAGCTGCCTCCTTAGCTCAGTGGTAGAGCACTGGTCTCGTAAACCAGGGGTCGTGAGTTCAAACCTCACAGGGGGCACACAAGTGTTTAATGGCGCACACACGCTCCTCCTCCACCGTGGTGGCTCACCTGGCCTGTGTGTGTGTGCTCATTACAGCTCACACAAACAACAATGTGTTTACCCAGCGAGTGTTTTGAGACATGACGCGCTGTTTTTAAACAATTTATGTTTTTACTAACACGTACAGCAGCAAGTCCTTAATTTTAGCTTAAAATATAAGCATATTTATTTACATAATAAAAAGTCATCATGATAACATAATACGTAATAACTTTATTTTTGGACTGTAATGAAAATGCTAAGACCATTAATATAGGTTAATCAATACAAGATAAAAACAGTTCAGAGAACAGTAATTGTTAGTTCAGAGAACAATCGCAGTGACATCCTGCAGCAGCAGCAGCAGCAGCGGTGTAGTAATTTAATTCCTTGTCTTATAATGGGATCCCTGGTTCGATTCCCGGTCGAGGCAAGGACGGTTGGGCAAGGTTTTCTTCACCTAGCAGTAACTGTAGGTATCCGAGAGTTAGTAACGTCTATGTGTTATAACAAACAGATTATATTATAATAGGTTTTTATATTATAACTTATAACAGGAGAGATAAGACAAAGTTTCATTTAAGGTCATCGACCGTTTTACAGTGAGTTATGTAGGTGTTTCTGAAGCTTTGTTTCACGACAAATTAACAAATATATTGCTGACAATTAGAGGCATAACGTGTGTATTGGCAAAGAATAATTAAATCAGTAATACAATTTTAAATATTAGACGTAAGAGTCTAAATACAACCTGAAATTCTAGACTTTTTCCCAGTGCTCTTTTGTATAGTCTTTTTAACAATAGTCTTTTGTAATGTTTTGTATTGCTAGCTACAAAAGTAATTTGTAAGTGATGGGAGTTGTTGAAAATTAGTGCTTCAGTCTGGGTGGTAGGGGGTGAGATAACTTAACCATATACCTTTCATGGGACACGTTGACGTAATGTAATGCTTCAGCGTCTGGCAGTCCGGTGACACTGGCAGTAACAGCTGGAGAAGGATGTCGTGCAGCATTGTCAGGTGCTCTAGGTGGTACTGTTGAATAATGTATATATGTGTGTGTGTATATATATATATATATATATATATATATATATATATATATATATATATATTATATATATATATATATATATATATATATATGCGAACAAGCCTGAATGGTCCCCAGGACAATATGCAACTGAAAACTTTATATATATATATATATATATATATATATATATATATATATATATATATATATATATATATATATATATATATATATATATATACAGGTATTTGTGTTTAAAGAGGTGTACGTGCGTGTTCCCGTAAATATATGGATACATATCCGAGTGTGTGTGTACTCGTCTAGTTGTGCTTGAGGGGTTGAGCTCTGGCTCTTTGGTCCCGCCTCTCAACTGGTGTACAGATTCCTGAACCTACTTTTGGGCAGGCTCAGGGTGCTGATTTCTCATCTGGGTACTCAGTTTCCACCTGTGTCCCCTTGTTCGCGTACCACCCGTGTTAAATAGTTTATCTACCCTGTCAATTCAAGTCAAGTCTGGCCTCGGGCCGGGCTTGGGGAGTAGAAGAACTCCCAGAACCCCATCAACCAGGTATCAACCAGGTATTCCTCTGACAATTTT